GGTGTCATTAATGCTAATTATATCTTCCTACAAATCAGTGTTTCTCAATCTTCTTGACAACTTTCAGATTTAATAGCCATCAATTCCCAGAATCCTCAGCCATGGCTATGTTGGTTGGGGAATTCTCCAAGTTGCAAATGTTGGGAAACCCAACTCTATAATATGGAATATTATATATATGATAAAATTTCTGGGTTGCAAAGCAGCAGGCACAAAGTCATATCTGTTAAATTTTCTTTAACAAGGGTTTTTGAATTCCTCCAAATTAGATATCTAACTCTGGTGCAGAGTGGGTGAGAAGGTAAGGCTGATGATTTTAACTAGTCTGCTAGAAGTCGCACTCCATAGAATACCTGGGACCAAAGCAAAGTGAATGGGGCCAGAACTAAGTTAAATTAAAATCACATCACATTGATTTACATATATTGAATATTTTTATTTATATAAAAATTACAACTTGGTGGCAGACATTGGAAGCATTCTTAGGGCCACAGATGCTTCGAAGGCTCTAAATAGGTAGCTAAGGCTGAAGACGGTTGATGATAATAAAAACTGGAAAAATTCCTAAGTAAAATTTCAAAGAATGGGACACAAATTAAGGCCCCAGAAGGGGCTCCATTGTCTTATGAGAAGATATGGTATATTGTGACACAACTGAAACGGTTACTTTGAAAATAAAGATAGTCTATAGTAGATAATGGAAGCATAATTTTGTGTTTCATTTTGTATTTTCAGGTGTACCAAGTGATGTTTCATTTATTGTGGGAAAATTCTTTAAAGAAACACCCTTTTATGGAACTTAACTGCTTTTGTTGGGTTAGTTTTTGACTTATACCTTGTCGTTAAACAAAAATAAAATGTTTTAAATGTTTAAAGACGAATTCCAACAAAATCAAGCGTTAGTTTGAATATCTTTCTTCAGTTATATTTGTACCTCTTGAAACCAGAATAGTCCATGTAGTATCCAAGTTTTATTAGCAACGCACCCTCTTCTTAAGGCTGCAGGTGGAAGCTGTGCAGAAAGCCTCACAATTTTCCCCAACAGCAGAGGCAGCAATATAAAATACTACTGCAAGTATCACATTATACTAGCTAAACCGTACTGTGTGTATCTCCTGTGACAATGAAAGGGCAGTACTGATGCACCCCAACAGAAAGGGAGGTAAATGAGCTGCCCAAAAAGAGTGTCTGGTTATTTTCCACTGGTGATTTACTATTATGATATGAATACTGCAGAGACATATATACAGAAGTTTTAAAAGAAGTCCTATTTTAGTCATTGGCTTTGGGAGATGAGGTGTTTTCATTAGTAATAGGTGGGTAGTTTCCCATTCCACTAATTACTGTTAGTGCCTTTTTAAAAAAAAAAAACAACTCATTAGCATATACGCATTTTTTCTCTTTAACTGCAAAAGATAATGGTTTCTGAAATCTCAGTTTAGGTATATCTTGCTTTATAGTGGCACTAAACCCAGTTTCCTGGTTTAAATGCCATGGGGAGGATAATTTAGAAACAGGAAGTCTGCTGCAGAATATACCAGAGGAGAAGTAAACAGACTTTAAGTCAACTTAACTCAATGTTTATGAGAGCAACTTGCTACCTTGATTTCGGCATCTCCAACTTCTCTTTTTTCAAGTGCAGTTGCAAGCTCTGCTAGCTACAGTAGTGACACTTTGGGGAATAAGGACACCAAATTAACACAGACCAAGATTCTAGCTGTAGACTTTGGTACAGGAGTTAAAATAAATCTACAAGTGGCATCATTTTATTGCTGATTTTTGCTTGTGGATGGTAAATGTCATAGTCTGAAACAAGTGTTTATTGAGAAAATTAGACGATAAGGAACACAAATGATCCCACACATAGCTGAGTGAATGCAGAATTGGGAATTGGGTGCAAATAGGGCCTGAGGCAATGACTGTCTGAAGCAAATCATACCCCCTTAATCTCAGGTCCCCATATATTAAAAAGGAAAACAGTATTTATTTATTTATAAAATATATTATCTTTCCAATAAAAAAAATGCCCATGAAGTTATTTTAAAAAGCCTCTTCTCACGATATTGTAAAGACAGATTAGAAAGATTTTAAATGCCTTTGCATATCTGAATGATTACAAACAATAACAAATAAACAGAATCCTTTATCAGCATACAGGTAGCCATATGAAGGACAAGATCATTAAAGTAATGCATATACATGTACGGGTTTATACAATGGATTATTTTCTGTTTGGAAAAAGACCAGGCACTTTTCCACAAATATCCAAAAGACAGTCTGAGGTGTTCAGCAATCAAAATTGCTTTCTCTTTACAAATCGCAAAAATGATCTGAAACATTTGGATGTCAACATGTTAGTGAGGGAGATACAAGGGAAGTGCAAAATGGAGGATGATTCTTTTCTTAAAAGACCTAATTGTAATGCAGTTACATTTCTCTGTTATATTAAACCATACTATTAATTTTAGACCTTAAAAACACAAATAAAACATTTTCTTGAAATATTAATTATAAATTAATAAGCCTGAACTTTTCATCTTATGATCTTAAATTGTTTAGAAGTCATAGCAACATCAAATTTATTGGAACAAGTGCAAACTTAAGATTACAACCCTGAGACATGCTTGCAACTGAATCGTCAGAATTATATCACAGCAAGCATGTACAGAATTGCACTGTAAGACTTTTAAGGAACTGGTCCATATTAATAATCATCTCTCTTTTTTTTTTACAGATGTTGAGTTATCACCATTTAACAGTATAACATTAGCTTATCATTTCATAGAACTTGTCAGTTTATCAAAGCAGAGATCTCATTAACGCAGTTAATACATAATTAGAAACAATACATTAAATTGGAACAGTTCTATTATATAATATATTTCTTTTGCAGACTGAAACAGAGAATAGCCTGGCTGCTTGGAAAAGCAACTGACACAATTCACAAAGCCGTCATATGCAATTATTTAAAATTACAGAATATAAAGATATATATATATATATGCAAAAACATGTATGATCAGTCTTCACATTCATTTTTATAATACCACACTCCATTACATTTTTAATTTTCCTGTCCTCCTGCCCTATAATAGCATTATTGAGCATTGGGGTCCAGGTAACGCTAATTGTCAGTGTTCAAAATGAGCAGAGGTCTTCCTTATCTGGGCAACAATATTCAATTAATATTCATAATGAATTGAAACATACACAGAAACACAAGAGTATTTAACAGTTTTTCCCAGGATTCTTTGCCAGCATTATTAGAATATTCTTAGGTTATATGCTTATCGGACCATTCTCCTCTTAGGAGTATTCTGGTGGTAGTTAAAATATACGCCTGCAGCTGTACACCATGTGGTATTATATGAAAATAGGGTCTTCAAAGAATACCTTGTATGTCTCCCCCATGAGATGTGCAGTTGAACCACATGATATATTAAATAATTGGAGGAGGGTTGAAGCTTAAATATCCCTCAGGGGCTGTACTTCACCTAATGTCCACTAAATCATCCTTGGCTATTCCTCATGACCTCACTCTCCAAAACATTGAAACAAAATGATTTGGCAATTTTAAGGGGCCAGTGTCTCTCCTTTTCCTGAAAACTACTTCAGAGAGTTGGAAATTCGATTTGTTAGGATTTAAAGACTTTTTTGAATATTTTTTTTTTTGCTTGGATTTTGGAGGGAGGAGGTTCAATATCATATAAAAGAAAGATGCACAGCACAGCTATTATATCAAAGAGACATAAAATATAGCTCACAATTTCAATGTTATTTATATTTATTTATATATTGTAAGCCTGCTCTTATCAATCTAAGAGTAAATTATTGGAACTCTTCTTGATCATTGTAAGATGTTGAAGGCAATGGTCAGTAAACCTCACCAAAACTATTGTTACATTATTATGATCAAGGTTCATTTCTATAAAATACATTATTACATCATAATTAGCGTAAATCAGTTTCTAACTGTATGATCTCTTCAAATCAAAATAGGAGGCAGTAATAAAAAAGAAATGAGGGACCATGCAATTAAAAAAGGTAAATTAAAATGGATTATTAATGAAAATATTAACACAAATGCCTAATCTTTATAAAACTTCATAAAATAAATACAAATATGATCTGTATGTACAAAGTATTTAACAACATTTAAGACTTTTGGACAGTCAGTATAGTACTAAGAATACAGATCATCTTCATGCCAGATAAAAACCAGAAATTTCATATGTAAAAACCTTCTCTTATAAATCTTACAGAGTACTAATAAAAATTCTTCCCTCTTATATTGTTAAAATACTGTGTATAAAATATGCTGAATGTTTTTAAAGTATTGGATTCTGCATATTTTTAAGAAGCTTGTAAAACAGCAAATGTAAGAAAATAGTTATAAATGTATTACAAATTGTACGTTTATTATTAAAATTAATCAATCTGGAAATGAGCTCTACAATAAATCTGCTCCATATGCAAACAAAGCTTCTCAACGTACTCTCTAATGTAGAAATCTGAATAGCAAAAACTTTGGTTGGGTTATATTCAATGGTGTGTCACATATAAAATTTACAGCAACTTTAACTCACCAAATGAAAATTAATCAAGCTGTTCACCATGTTCCATGATTTTAATTAAATCTAATATATTCTTGCAGAAATTAAGTTTACTTCTACAGCTTATTCTATACACCACTTTGCCCATACTGGTGCCATGTTAGCAGGGATTGTGGGATTTGAATTTTAATACATCTGGAAGCCATCTATTTGGGGAACGCTACAGCATAAAGTCAATACATGATGCTCAAATATCCTCTGCTTTTCTATGACATAGTAGTGAGTTTGGCACTTCCAAATAAAGACAGTTCCAATGGCACATTCCTTACTTACAGCAGCGAATAACCTGCAAGTATCTGGCAGCAAACGTTTTGTACAAAAACCAGAGAAAAAGAGACCTGCAGCCAAGACTGAGAGAAAAAAAAAATTATACAAGAAAATGCAAAAAAAGCTGAAGAACATCTTTGGACTTCTTTATGCATATGCACTTCTTGTAGTCAGAGATGTCTGAAGCACTTTAAACTGTAGCCTAGGAGAATAGAAAGAAAACATGCAATGATTGAAAAAGCATTCTCGATTGATTAGAGCTCTACATAAAAATGCATTTATGAATTACTTTTTAATCAGGATCTGGCAACCTATGCTACTTCGACATAAGTCTTTCAGTAAAAATACTGAGGTATCCGTGCCTTAAAAACTGGTGTAGTTGATTTTTCCTGTGGTTTTACTCAAAGGAGAGCTAAAGATAAAACTATATTTGACTTCACGTGATAAGTTTGCTCTTTGATGTCTGTTGTTGCCTTTTGATGAACTGCCCTTCTGTGACACTGTGCTTAGGATCACACACTGCAATTCATCTCCTAGATCAGGGGTGTCAAACTCAATTTCACTGAGGGCCGCATCAGCATTGCAGTTGCCCTCAGGGGGCCGGGTGGGTGTGGCCAGGGTGGGTGTGACCTACTGGGTGGGTGTGGATGAAGTGGGTGTGGCCTACTGGGTGGGCGTGGCCAGCTCTATACCGTTCGCATCAAGGGCGCCTGTGGGGGCCTGGGCAGGAGTGGGACAGATCTGAGGGTCTCTGGCAGAAGGGGGTGGGACCAGGGCAAGTGCCAAGGCATGGTCCACTGGAGGAGCCTCACTGTTCCTCTCAGGCCATGCGGGGGGGGGGGGCTTATGGAGCTAAGACTGAATGCGTTTCAGCATAGATGGCCACCACAAAATTGTACATTGGCTCCCGTCCGGCCTGGGCCAGGGCCAAGGCAGAGGGGGCCGTTCCCTCACTGTTTCCAGGATGGCTTCTTGGGCCACATGAAACCACTTCACGGGCTGCATCCGGCCCCCGGGCCTTGTGTTTGACATGTCTGTCCTAAATCCTTTTAAAATGTAATTCTACCCCATCCTTTCATCATATACAAAAAAACAAAAGCAAATATGCAAGACTGTCCTACCAAAACCATTAATTTTTAGAAAACTGAGAATGAAAAGCATGATGGTAATTTTAAAACGAAGTCATTAAAATCCTAGATTAATGGTAAAATAAGTATTTCTTCTTCTAGAAAACTGACATGTTATAATATCTCATAAGATAGCATTGTTATAGCTTCTATAATGATTTTTGAAGTACAGGTAGTCCTTGACTTACGACCCCAAAATTTCTGTTGCTAAGTGAGACAGTTGTTAAGTGAGTTCTGCCTCATCTTTCAATCTTTCTTGTCACTGTTGTTAAGTAGTTACACAATTGTAAAGTGAATCTGGCTTCCCATTTGACTTTGCTTGCCAGAAGGCCACAAAAAATGATCACATGACCCTGGGACACGGCAACCGTCATAAATATGAGTCAGTTGCCAAGCGTCCCAATTCTGATCACGTGACCACAGGGATGCTGAAATGGCACAGGGTTTCCTGCCTGAGCAGGGGGTTGGACTAGAAGATCTCAAAGGTCCCTTCCAACCCTGTTATTGTTATTGTCTAACTGGCCCAAGGTCACTTTTTTTCAGTGTCTTTGTAACTTCAAATGGTCAGTAAATGAAAGGTTGTAAGTCGAAGATTATCTGTATGTATTTATAAATCATCTTTCGACAACAAGGCAAAGCATGTGTTTATAAACTTTCTGATCTAGAATATGTTTTGATCATATAACCAGCATTTGCTAATGATATTTTACATGTAATATCTACTGCGCCTTCTCCCTTTGTCTAATTTCCTTCTAGTGCAGCAGTTCCTTTAACGCAACTGAATCTTGGAGCAGTTCTATACATAATAACTTCATGAAAATAAAGAGAATTGCTATGCAGCTTTTCATTCTAATGGAAGAGACTACCCCGAGCTAAATTTGGTCCTTACAGTATTACTTTAAGGTTTTAAGCTAATAATGAATGCATTGCAACATTGTCATAAAATAACAAAAACGAGAACTAACCTTCCAGTCTTATCCTGACACCCAGCTGTGTGTTGTTGTTTTAACACCGTGCGGCAAACTTTGGTTAGGTAACACACTGTCAAAGTTAAAATCTAGTGTTTCCCCATCCATCAGATCATTACGAATTATTGATTCCATATCGCAGTCCAATCGCTCGATGAACATATCATCTAAGTCACTAGGCAGCTTCTCTTGATGGAAAGAAACAATTCCCACTCTTCCATACCCATTACAGCTGTTCACAGTGGTGAAGGGGCTAATGCTATTCACTTGCATCGGGTGGCTCACGACTCCCTGGACTGAGTTTTTTGCTGAGGTTGAATGATTCACACTTGAAGCGTGAGACACAGTACTAAGGGTGAGAGACAAAGTATGGCTGTTTATTACTGCCGTGGGTTGGATGTGTCCTTGGTGAGAGTGAGCACTGGGGGCAATGATTTTGTTATGGGACTGCTGGTTGCCATAGGGTGATATTGCAGAGTTAGAGACCATTAATATATTTTGTCCCAGCACTCGGCTACTAGGCTGGGAAACATGAGTATCTGCCGAGGCTAAGACCTCATTATGTGGCGGTGAATCAGAAGTAAGCAACTCCTTAAGAAGTCCTGGGCAGTTATATTGATTAATGGTCCCATAGCTCGATTTATTGTCCTGAATTGTCGGCATAGGGATCTGTGACAAAGAATTTATGCTAGGCTGAGCATAAGTGTATTTCCTGTAGTCTGCATTGGTTGAAGCTATATTTGTATTGGATGATGTATATGAATAACCAGTAGATTGTTGCATCATGGTAGTAGGTGGCGATTGGGCAGGCCCAGTCAATGATGTATTTGGAGACAAAAGATTGAGATTATCTAGTAGGTTTTCCATATTTTCGGAACTACTCATTTCAGAAAGGCTCGGCAGAGTTGAGGCCATTTTGGTTGTTGATGAAGGATAGACCATGGAATGCACATCCCCTTCCCCAAGGTCATCTTGTTCTGGCAGAATTGGGGAAAGTCTTCCACTAATGGTGCTAGCATTCGAACTGGCTCGAGGTCTAAAAGTACTCCAGTTATTATCAAAGTCATCGTTGCTATGATTGCTGGGGCTTGCAGGCCATTTCGAGAACTGTGCTCCTGGACTGTCGCCATTTCCGTCTTGAGCTGCCTGAAGAGCTGATTTTTTCTTTGCAGCTCTCCCTCTACTTTTTGCAAACTTGCTGCTGTTGTCCATGGAGGCAGCCCTTCTCCTGGGAGATTTGCCACTTTTGCCTCCTTCTGGATTAAGCATCCACCAAGAGCTTTTTCCCGTCCCTTCATTCTGTACTCTAATGAACTTGCTGTGCAAAGAGAGGTTGTGACGGATTGAGTTCTAAAAAAGGAAAATGTAAGAAAGATATTGAATTGCTCTGCCACAGTAATATATCCTAGATCGCCCCCCAAAAAACAAATCCATCAAGTCCATCAAATGAGAAATACAATAATATCACTATAAAATACTTGTAGGAGGCAAAGAGGGTGAATCAAGATCAGCAAATCACAGTGGCTGCCACACCAAATAATAACACTCTTCATTGTTAGACTCAACAGGATCCTTGTCAGTAAGCACTACACACATGCAGGAAGCCACACCTGCTCCATCTGAAAATTAACACCACAGATTATCAAATGTCTGGACACCAGACTTTCAGCCAGACTGCCACGCAAAAAGCTCTCCTCATGGGAGCATAGCTGGAGGGAGGAGAAACAAAATCAGGATCTGCTATGGACTGAAAGCTACTTTTTTTTTTTCCTTTTCAAAAAGGAACTGGAAAGTCTGGATTCATCAATAATTCCATCCCGTCAGCTCAAAGACAAACTTCTCAGGAAACAGACGAGACTAATGCAAAAGCAGTGAAAGGAGGAGGGGAGGCTGCCTAGAGAGGAATCAAAGGACACAGAACAAGGCAGATGGCACCTGGCTTCCAAAGGGTTAAACCGACTACAACTTCTTCTCTTGCCAGTTGACCAGTTAATTGGTCTGAACAGGGAGCTAGTTTACCTCAGCTAAAGGAGCGGGAAGCCAACAGTCCATTCCCATTAAGCCATTCATCTCCTGGCCTGTGAAAACAAGGAAAAGGCTCAGGACCGCAGAAAGTAAACAAGCCTTGTCCCAGCCCTCCCGGGCACGTCTTTCTATTAGTAGATGTCCTAGAAGGGACTGGAATCAGGTGGGTTGGCAGCAAGGGGACAGATAGCTTTGACACTGCCCAAACGAGCTTGTTACGTTTCCATAGACGGTAGACAATGGGCTTATCCAGCATGGAAACAGGTCACACAACTGCACGTACAAAGCTTTTGCCAAAAACTGGCAGTTACTTAACAACCGCTCCAGAAAACGTCATAAAATAAAACGGTTATGTCTTATGAGCGTTAACGGGCAGCCTCGACTATGGTCATAACTCAAGGACCACCTGATAATTAAGATTACAGATTAAAACATACACTTATAAATGCTGTGAAGAATATTGGAAGCCATTCATTGTAACTTTTCTTTTCTTGCACTTTTTGCTTTTTTATTTCTCTTTCTCTTTTTTCCCTTTACATTCGCCTGTGTTAGTTTTTACCTTTTTGTTTAAAAGTATGTATGTGGCTGTACATGTATGTGTAAGATTAGAATAAAATAAAAAGATAAAAATAAAACCAAAGTATTCAGATTTCATTTGAACAAGTATAGTAAACCCACTAGAAATATTAGGGGAATGTATGGTTATCAATTTCAGAATTTGCTACAAAGCCCCCTTTTTGCAAGGTACAAAGGTGGGGGTGGTTTTGCATAAGGTAAAGAGAAAATTGCTGTGAGTGTGTTTTGTGCTGGGGAGGAGGGCTTTTGTGGCTTTGTGTCAAGGAAGCAGAAACCTGACCTTTCCCCCCACTTTCTTGCACTTCACCCTTCCTTGTCTGGTTCACTTTTGATAATGCAGTTAGACGGAGAGGTAAAACCTTTAAAGCAACACAGGATAGTGAGAAATGGAAGGTGTGTGGTGTCAAATTTTACTTCCCTCCTTTGCATGTACTTTTTTTGGGTGAGAAGTAGGACCCGTCCTCTGTTTCATAAATGAATGGGAGAAATACACCGTTGCTCTACATGTCTATTTTATCTTGTACTATGTTTGCTAGCTAAGGTTAACTTGCTTCATTCACCCAATGTCAGATCCAGAGATAATCACTTTCTAATTGGAACTATCATGTTTTGCTCATCTACTGAGCAAAAGTATTCTCCTACTTCCTGCTTCAGTATATTCCTACTGCAAATAACTTAAAGAGGGAGGACAGAATAATAGTGCTACACTGTTTCCCTGGCAACATCAACAGCTAAGCAACTTTTGAGGAAACTTTTGATCATTCTCACAGGAAGAACATGAGATTGGGAAACTTTTTTAAAAACACAACATTCTGAATTCCTCAGAGTAAAATCCATTAACACATTGCAAAAAGAACGTGACACCCAAGATGTTTCGTGGCCATCATATAGCCCACCTTAGCAAAGCTTAAAGTATGTTTATAGTGAAAATGTAATTCTGTGTGCAGACCTATCTGTGCAAATTATTCACTCCGTCCACAAAGGAACCATTTAGTATTTTGCAGAAACTCCAGACCTCCTTAGTCATCAAAAAAATTACAGTCTAGTATTCTTATACAAAGGATATTCAAGGTCACTTTTGGAGTAGCTAAGCCATCTCCAAATTTTGCCAACAACAACAGAAGTTCCAAACAGGAAAAAGTTTGCAGCAGAGTGCCTTTTACATAAATTCTTGTTTTTCACAAGCCAGGGGAGATTAAAGAAACTACAGTATGATTTATTACTTGGAAAAAAGTGTGGAAGAGAAATAAGTATTGCAAAAATATTTAGCATAGTTATTGATGTTGTGTCTACAAATCTTTGCCAAACACAGACAGGACTTGATAATGGTACAATTTTAAACATTGGAACTTGGCAACTGGGCCAGCAAGTGCAGTGACTGAATTTGGAGTCTGTCCCTTATGCCTAGAAAGAACTTGACTGACACTGAAAATGAAAGGTGGCATTTTTTTTCTAAACTAAGCAGGAGTTTCACTTCAAAGTACATGCATCAACTCTGTGTGTCAAATTTTATTGCTCTATTTCTTGGCAGGATTGATTGCAACTTCATCCACAATAAATCTTCAGTGGAGTTACTAAGTTTCTCTCTAACTTTGCAAGCATGACTCTGGAAACATTTCTGCATGTGGGCATAATTATTCTATTGCCACTTTCATACATCTATGTTTCTATTCCCTGATCCCCCCATTATGTTTGGAAAATGATCTGTGTGACCCTTTTTCCTCATGCCTAGCTTAGAAAGCAAGGAACAGGCCGGGTATAACTTAGGCAAATCGGTGTCCCTTCCAGTCAACCAAGTGGAAAACTACTACCAACCTCCCACAATTTACAGAAATTCCTGCAATAATAAAACTCTTGTCTCCCTCTGCACAGAGAAAGGGGAAATTAAAATTTTAGCCCATGTTTCAAGTCCATGCTATGTGTATTTGGCTACTTTGTGATACACAGATAGACAGACCTAAGCTTTGGGTATGATGGAAAATTGTTTAGACATCAAGACTTTCTGCAAATAAATCCCCATTGAATGCTGTGATGTAGGCATAACAGAATCTTTTATCACTACTCTCTTTCCCAACACTTATAGGTCACACTCTAGAACAGTGTAGGGAAGCAGAGAGAACAAAACAGGACACAGCCAATTCACCACGGCCAACTTGCCACAGCCAATTCAACAAATACAAAAGTTAAATTAATTTCAACAGAACCGTGGCCAATAATAATAAAGTCAATCCAGAAATACAAGTCACAATAATTTCAACAAAAATGGGGTCACCAATAATCAAAGTAGCTGAATGAAACAATGAATACAGTGTTGAATTGTCCCGCAGCGAGTTAGCCATGATGAGTTGTCCTAGACCCCAAAAAGAAAGTAATGACTGGCTTGAATCCAAACATTTGGACATGATACAAAAGAATTTGATCCATACTACCAAAACAAAAAACAAAACCCAACCACCATGCCAGGCATTTAATTGAGATTGTGAAATTTGACAAGGATGAAATTGAGTTCAAGGCTCCGCTTTGCAAATCAAACTGCACAGGTTTTTTTTTTACAGGAATTGTGAATCCTATAACATTGCCTGTAAAATCTGCTATTGAGTTTAAATGATGGAAGGAACTGTTCAGGCAACTGTGTTCCTGAATGGGAAAATGCCTCTGTCTAATCCTTGTAGAGCTCCAATGTCACACACTGCAACTGAATGAGAAACCAAACTTTCCCACTACTTTCATCCTTTTCAAATATTATTCGTTTGAGTAATATTTACTGTTTTGCTGTTAGCCATTTGCTACCAAATGTTTGTGGCACTTGAAGCACTTGATTGTATCCTGATCAATGTTCCTGGATCACTAAATCAGACACGTTAATTTTCCATCTACTGTCCATTCAGAAGCCCACTTATGTCCCTCCACAGCAAAGCTAGCATCTGCTTCCTGTTACCTGGAATATGTGTACAGGAGGCGATGCTATGAACTTTGGAAGCGGAGAGCTCTACAGAGATAAATCTGACCCAGTGAGGCCCCTATGGCTTAATACAGATTGTTGATTTTCAATGACTATTAGCAACCGGAAACCAGTGGTCTGATCCTCACCAATCTTTTGAATAAGTAATCAGCAAGCAGTTGGGACACCAGATTGTTGGGCTTCCTGCCTTAACAGCAGCAGGAAACCAATGATCCATTTCCTGCCGGCCAGCTGATCATGCTGATTAGTTGGCCAGCAGGAAAAGCAAACCAAGTTCCTAAGATTCCAGGAGGTCACACTTTAGGTGGTTTAGGACTGTCTATGACCCTAAGGCCATAAGCTTGTCCATCCATGATATATTGGCATTTCAAAATTTCAGTTAATCTGAAAATCTTCTCCATTTCTAGCAATAACGCCATCCATGGGGAAAGGCATTGCTATTCCATTAAAAAGAAGTAAGGTATGATCTGCTTAGACGTGAATGTAGTAGATTTTTATAATGGTATTACAATATCACTTACTTGTTAAATCTTTTATACTCCATTGAAAATCTTCTTGAGGCATTTTAAAATAAACAAGCTTGAATCCAGTCACTTACAATAACTATATAACCAAATTGACCCATCACCTGTAAGACCGGGCTATTTTATCAAGAATTTCTAAAATTATATGTATCATCAAACTATAGGAAAGCATATGTGCATGTTAGTTTTGAACAGTTTCTCATATTGATGGATTTAGTTAGAGGCTTGCTTATCAACATTATTTAGCCAAAAAATCATTGATA